GATCTCTATTCATGTTTGACCTCGTCAGTTAGCCGGAACGCGCAGGAACCAATTCAATGAGATATATATGTCATTTGGGAACCGTCTCGGCGGTGGCAAAGCGGGCAGAAGCGGCCGCGCAGCGAGGAATAGGTGGCATAGGATCACTACTCCGAAGTGTTTCGACTGCGCGGTGCCCGTCAGATATAGTAAGCTTCTCCCGATGAGAAGGTAGGTAGGTGTGTGCGCTACGCCAAGCGGGGAGATGCAGGGCAGACATCGTCGTGTTGACGGGTTGTCTATCTAGAGAGCATAGAGAGATCCGCTCGCTACTGGAGATTCTTCGTCGCAGGATTCGGAATTGGACGCGGTGGAGACCCATAGGGCTATACTGGATGAATCGGCAGCGAGGGAAACACGTAGGTATCCTTTGGACAAGGAGGCGCTTCGATTGGCGGTGGCCCAGCCCTCGCTGCGGCGCGGGTTTGGCTTATTTCGCCATCCTTCCAATGTCCGCCCTTCCCCCCTGAGTCTGCGAGAGGAGCGCATACGCGGCCCCCAACCGCTCTCGATGAACTGTTGGTTGGCAACGTGCGCCAAGAGGATATCTCAACCCCATCAGGTCGTGACGGGTCTGTCACTCATGCATTGGTAGGCTCCAGATCCGCGACGGCGGGTCCTGCTGGTGCGAAAAATTTTCCTCGGTCCTTCGAGAGGACGTGCGAGTTGCCGGCGATCCAGACCCCTCATCGCGATACGTACATAGCAGATGATGGGCTGTGTATCCGTATGTATGTACGCAGGCGAACGGAGATGGCATGCCAATTAGGCTCGGAAATCAAGGCGAGGCGCCAGAATTCCCACTCGCCGCCCGATCCTCTCCCCGTTTGCGCTTTGATCTTCCCGGCGACGATCCGTGAAAGCTCCACAAAAGCTTATTTGGACCGCGCATCCAAAGGAAGCGATACACATCGTAGTCTGTAGGGGAGTAGGGGCGTACACAGGTCCGGAAGTCCAAAGCGGGCGGGTCCGGCGAGGGTGGTGGCTCCTTTGCGACGCGTATCGAGCGCCACTCGGTAAGCCTCCAAGATGACGGGGGGATGGGGGGCGAGGGTCGGGAGGGGAGAGGGGTGTGAATTACCTAGGTACTGCTTACGTCGCCCGGCACTCTCGGTCGCATTCTCTGCAAATAGGCCAGGGCATGTCTTCGAACGCGACGAACTCGAAGCGGTCCACGACGGCGAGATGAGATTCGGTTGGTCGTCGAAGAAACGCGCGATGAGATTTCAGGGGCTAGCTGGCTGGCTTGGCTGGAGGTGCACGTAGGATGAATGGCTGGCAGCAAGCTCTACCCGTAGTAATCCAGATTTGACCGGCGAGGCGGAATCTAGGGCAGATTAGTGTAGTGGGAATTGCATACGCCACGCCCAAGGCCGCAAGGTCCGGAACGGCAAAACCTGCCTGGGACCCGACTCTCTCCCACGACGTCGCTTACCCACACGGACCCATCTCCATAGGCGTGCGCGCAGATCGGGCGCGAGGTAGGGAGATCGCCGCAGGTATAGGCGGGCAGGTATAGGCAGGTATGGACAGGCAGGCAGGCAGGTAGGTAGGTAAATGCGAGTTGTCGATACGGAGAGGCATGCGTGAGAGAGGCGGAGGCGGAGGCAGAGGGAGAGCGGGAAGAGTGTGGAGAATGGAGGCGATTCAAGCAGAACAGAGACAAAACAGAAACGCCTGCAGGACGAGCGAGTGGAGGGAGAGGTGGCCCTCCCCTCTGCCAGCCCAGTCGGCGTAGGATAGGTACGCCACGCCTGGGCAATGGCTGAGCACCTGCACGTCTGAGGATCGCACGGTACGAAGCCGGGGAGGAGACGAAGGGAGAGCGAGAGAAAGAAGGGCGAAGAGGAAACAGAAAAAACAACCACCGGGCATGTTGCTGCGGGCTCGGACCCGAAGTAGGCTGAGGAGGAGGAGGGGTGGGATGGATTCGATGCTGCGCGGACTTATCGCGCGTAGGAGTAGCCCATCTCCTAAGGTACCTACCTACTTACCTACCTCCAAGGTGCTGCGTGGACGGACGCACGTAGGTACGTGTATACGTGTATCGTGTATCGTGTATACGTCGTCCATGTAGATGAAACGCCGCGTTTCTACCGTAATCTACGTGTACACGGACAAGTCCACATAGGTATGTGCGCCTCTCCGTTTGCCGTGTGGATCTCACTTCTCTCTCTCTATGTCTCTGTCTGTCTGTCTTGTCTCTTCTTCTTCTTCTTAACTTGTGTCGTGTTGCGGACTAGCCTTCGACCCAGCCGGGTTCTGGGCCATAATCTCTCTCTCTCTCTCTCTCTCTCTCTCTATTGCAAACCGTCTAGTCTCAAAGGGCGTAGGGACAGGCGGGGCCGAAGACAACGCCCTAACGTTACAAGTTAAATGTGTGGCCCTCTTTATCGGTTACGCCCTACGTACGCTCCCCCTCCAGGCCCTGGGGTACTTGAGGCTAGAGAGGTACCTCCACATACCTAAGGGAGGTCTATGAGTAGAGGCAGGAGGTAGGTACCGAGGTACCTGAAGTAGGTAATTTCGGGGATTCGGGACGACATGTTGGTGCGTGCTGGTGCTGGCGCATTCTCGCTGCGGAACGTCTCTAAGGGAGAAGCCCCCCCTCCTGCGCGTGCGCCAACCTTCAGGTGCTCTCTCTGCCTTACGGTCCCCCTCCTCCTCCCCCCTGCCATCGTTCTCTGGCCAGGGTATGGTATCTAGAAGCTGGGATGGCGACGGTACTTGCTGAAATGCCTGGGCACATTAGGTAGGTAGTTTAGGTACCTGCGCGGCTTGGCTCAGGCACCTCGCCCCTAAGCACGCTGCGCACACCCCCTTATAGCAATCCATATGTACTCCGTACCACATGCCTCCCGCGACGCAGATCTGCACATGCATCCCAGAAGTAGGTATATCGAGGCATATATATAGGAGTCCCTTTGATCAACATGTACCCGCCTCGGACGTATCTCCGCATGTACATAACCTACCTCCTGTACTTGGGCACGCTAGCGAGGTGGGTCCGCAACTAGGTACCTACGCCTACACGTATAAGCGGCGCATCGTAAGTGGATGCTTTCCTCCCTCCCTTTGCTGGGTACCTTAGGTAGTCTTCCACTTATGTCGATACCCTGCATTCGGTCACTACCTACTAAAGTCGTCCGTTGAGGGTGAGAGGGGCAAGTAGACTCGAGCAGTAACTATATATATATATATATATATACACCTATGTATGTATACTATAAGTACCTAGATTATCCACCTAGGTAGGTTGGTAGGTTGGTAGGTACCTCTTTTCGTAGATGCTAGATACCTGCCTACCTCTATATATTCCCAACTAGGTACATCCTTAAACACGAGGTACTTGGGTGAGTACCTAATATAATATAACCTGTCTATACGCCTATCTACCTACCTACCTACCCACTGGTTACCTACCTGCCTCTACATGCTACGGGAGGGTAGTACGTAGTATAAGCCGGGTTTGTGGGGTTCCGCCCACCCCATCAGAAAATCCAAAATCTAAAAGGATAACAATAAAAATAATAATAAGAAAACCTAGGTATGGGATGAGCGGGCCCCATCTGCGAGTTCCCACCCGCCTGTCGAAATCGCGTTGGTACCAAGGATCTGCTTGATCGTACCTGTGGGTACCAGGAACCCCAGACCGGTTCCCCTTGTCGCGCTGCCCTGGCACCACCTGAACCCCCCGGTTGGAGGCTGCCGAGGCTCCAAGCAGCCTGCCCGGCCTGCACCGGCCTACATATCGTAGTGTCATGCTTTTAGTGCAACCTAGCTCCCGTTGTGGGGCGTTTTGAGGCTTGCGAGTCCAATTTGAACGACCTCCCAATGCCTCATCTCCCTGAGCGAGTTGTCATCGTCGCGAGACAGAAAAGGAAAAAAAAAAAAAACCTAACAGAGAAGACGGAAAACAAAAAGCCCTCTCTCGCCCTCACATAACCCCCGACGCCGTGCCAAGGCCTCTTCACCGTTGCCATACCCTGTACACCTCGCCCCCATTGGTGCAAGGTTCCACCCTCGGGCCTCCTTTGTTGCCAGCCTAGACTGTCATCCGTCCATTCGTCACCTCACCACCCCGGCTAGACCGTCTCTCTCTGCTCGATAGCTTGTCTCTCTTCATTCTTCACCCCCTTCTATTGGCCATCGTCCCGCCGTCGTGCTACGCAGCAAGAAATGAGAAGAGCGGGAACGACAGCGCATCCGGGATAACTTCACTAGCTCGCTCTATCGGGAGGTCATGAGATTCATTCTCGCGCTGTATGGCCCAAGAAAATAGAAAGAAAGCTTCGATTAATATTTCCATCAGAGAAGCAGAAAAAGAGGTAAACGTAAAAAAATAAAAACAAAGCTACGTGAAGCCGAATTCACGGCCACAGCCGCCGTCTTAGAGAAACGGGTAGCTTAGTCCCGGATCCCATGCCCGATTTTCTTCAAAGGCACCGTCATCTCACGAGGCCCGCCATCCCTCCCCCCAAAAAAAACACGAAGATTCCACTCCAAGCGTCTCCGAACTAGGTAGAAACTAGGGAAGGCGAGTCGCAGCAACCTGGTCTCGCCAGGAGGACACTCGGGCAAGCAAGCGAAAGCGGCTGCCGAAGCGGAAAAGACTGAATCGGGAACCCTTATAGACCCATCTTTCCCAACGCCGCCCATGATATTTTTGCCGTAGTCTTCGTCAAGTTTCAAGGAGATGATGAATGAAAGTCGCGCGTCCTTCATTTCTTGAACCGTCTCAAAAACACCGTAAAGCATCGCACCAGGGTATCCTTTCCGTTATCCCGCCAGATAAAACCCGTGTTTTTGTAGTATATCCCGACTATACCACTGCGGTAGCAGTTCAATCTTCTTATAATTCTCGCACCCGCTTACAATTCCATGCGAACTCATCGTTGTCCGGTCCATCCTTCTTTGTTTCATCCCTTACGCCGCCCAGCCTCGCCTCCGACCCGGAGATCAAAAAGCAGTAGACGAACCAAAAAAAAAAAACGGTCCCTCTTTTTTTTCTTGAAAAAAAAAAAAAGAATTTCTGATGGCCACGTCTGGCGCGGTGAGATTCGTGGTAGTTAGCTCCAAGCTAATACCGAGCGAATGCGCCATTTTCGTGGATCAGTGTGCGACCAGCTTGCACGTGTACTCTATACCGAACCCCCTATCCGTCTCATCCCGATTGGGGAAGTAGAGTCGGCATCGTCATAGCTGGGTAGTAACCCGCTGAGGTAGGCTTTCCCTCAAATCGGCTGCAGTTTCGAGAGTAATACGAATTGGGGGGGTAGAATATGCTGGGTAGGGTGCTTTCGTATTCGGGCTTGACCTTTGATGCCGCCGGATCGGCCGTGGCAGGAGCCGAAGGCATCATGGTGTCCTGCTCCCCCCGGTGCGAAAACATCTCGACACCTTGCCGGGAATCCGCGCCTTCGTAGATGGTGGCGGGGTAGTACTGGTATTCTTTCGCGCTATCGATGGCCTTTGCCTCATCCGCGGGTATGATCGGTTCTATCGGCAACTCGTGATGGCGAGTCGTCCCGTAATGCCCGGATCGCGGGTCGTATCCTCCGCCGCTACCATACGCGCCCGATAGCAGCGAAGATCCACCGGGATTGTATTCTGTCCCGAGCACCTGAGAGCCGGGATAGCCGCCCATTCCACTCGAACCCCCAGGTCCGCTGCTCGTACTGCCGCGTCTCTCGGTTTGGTAGTGCCCAGGGGAACGACCGCGGACAATCATCTTGGCGGATTTCCGTTGCGCGATCTTCATAAATTGATCGGGCGCCTGGTTGCCTACGTCGGCGTATAGTTCGACGACGAGGTGGTAGTATTGCTGAGCGGCCCTCCGCTTGCCGTTATTCGCCGTCGCCTGCTTGAACTGGATCCGTTCAAAGGTATGCTCGCTAGGGTACGACCCTTGCGCGCTCTGCCCGTAGCCGCCTTCGAACATGGGCCTCGAGCTTGCGGCTATGTTGTGGTGCTCCTGATACAGCAGCGGATGAGCCGGCTGTTGCGGCTGCTTCGGCGTTAGTCTTACTTTTTCGGGTCTCTGAACGGGACCCTTGTCTCTCTTCGGCGTGTGCTGTACCAGTTCGATGGTGTGGGAATCGCTGTCTGAGACGACGGCAGAGATGCTCATCGCAAAGCCAAACACCTGATACGAAGTACTGGACCCATTAGGAACGTACTGCATAGACGTGTTGTGGTAAAATGGCGATAAGCTGTAGGAGCAGATGCAAGAGAAGTAGTTCCGCCTGTAACATGTCCAGTCCCCCTCGGACATGAAGAAACCTTTGTCAATGGTGCCCTGGATGTCGATTTTGATGGGGGTCCCGCCGTCGGCGTACGCGAGCTGGCCGTTCGTGGTCATCGGCATGAGCGGGGGAATGTGCGAACCCCCAGACTTGCCGTACTGGCCGGCATCCATCCTGACTGGACTGGTGAAACCGATGCTGGGGCTAGGAGTTGGCGACAGCGGATGGCGTCGCAGGGGTGCCGCGAAAGACGGCGACCTCGTGTGCTCCGTTGCTCTAGGGAAAGACGGCCTGGCTCCCGAGTAGAGATCTCTTACGTTGTAGGCTGGATTTGGTAATGCAGCGGAGCGGTTGGCATGTGCCATGCCCGTAGACGAAGTGCTATTACCACGGTGGTAAGCGAGGCGAAAGTTACCACGGCCGGCGTACGGGGAGGCATGTGCTATCGCACACTGGAACGGGTCGAATCGAGGGTGCCACTTACTTGGAGCTCAGGCGCGGTGGCCTGACGTCGATGCTGGAATATATCTGTGACGCTGGGGAGTAGAAGGATCCAGTATCCGGGGAGTACCCAGTGGTTGTGGTGTTGAGCAGGGGCGCAGAAAATCCGCTGAGCACAGAAGACGGCTGGGGAGGGGTTTCTATCGTCAGGGAGGAGATATTGGAATCTTGGTTGTATCTGGAAGAGCATCAGCACGAGGTTTTGGCAAATAGAAGCTCTTGTGCAAGACTCCAGATTAAGCTAGCGAAAATGCTGTATCGCGGTTCCATATGAGACAATGCCCAAGCATCCCAGTGCGACCAAGGGGTGGTACCGACAACGTTCGCGTACCACAGGAGGAGCGGATACAGGATCGGGACAAACCACGCCACATAACAGCGAGCAGCGGAAGGGTCACAGGTCTTTTGTGTAGCTGCAACATCCACCCCATGCACCTCGTCTCTGCGCCTATGACGAGAGAGATTTACAGGCGGTGGCAGTAGCTGCAGATTGCGAGGTAGGTATCTGGGGCGGAGGGGAACGGGGGGGGGGAGGGAGGGGGGGCTGCTACCAGGGCGATCCAAGCAGCCTGACCGGTACAACACCCATACCCTCTCATGCGCCCAAGCCACGACTACTGAAGAATGGCGTGGAGGCCGAAGGGGAGGGGTGAGGAGAGAGGGGAGGAGGAAGGGATTAAACCAGAAGAGGAAGAGGGAGAGGCAGAAGAAGAAGAAGAAGAAGAAGAGGAGGAGGAGGAGGAGGAAGAAAAGGAGCAGGAAGGGGGAGGGGAGGGGGGGGGGGGAGACGACGGGGTGTTGATTTGGCCCGACATGTCCACGCCCGAGGGGTTCGCAGAGGGACAACTCACCTCATATCACCTGTTGCCGGGATGTCCAGATAATCCAGCCCGGGGCAGGAGGGCGACGAAGGCTCAAAGTCCTGCTGGAACGATAGGAATAGTCAGTAAGGGTAGGCTGTGCTAGTGGGATGTTTGGCACGGAAGTGATGAGTCTAGTCCCGAGGCGTGGCCCGTTGGGCATGAGCTGCAATCATTACCGGGCTTTGGGCATTGCCGGCGGGAAAGGGAGAGAGAGGTCGAGAGTTTGGTGAGCAGATCCTGAAGAAGAGTTGGTGAGAGTGTTAGCAGACGGGATTGATCAGTCAGGAATTTCCGTTAACATCGAAGCACAGTTGGGATTTTTTGGACTTGGAGGGCTCGGATGCAGAGAAAAAAAAAAGATACATGTAGCCTCCGGCCGCATGTATTAGTGGTTATGTAGGTACAAGGGCAGCCCCGTCCGTGGTAAGGCAAGTTGGTATGTAGCATGCAGTGGGTAGCATGTAGCTAAGGTAGTAGGTAGATTGCCTGGGCAGCGCAGGTAGCGGGCACAGGACAGGAGCGAGAGATGGGAAGGGAGGGAGAGGGAGGATGTGGATGCGGGCGTAGGTGTGGGTGTCGCATGCGCGCTCGCGCGTATGTGTGTATCTATGCGTGCGTGCGTACATGTGTATGCGTGTCTGTATGTATATCTCATGTGTATGTGAGTGTTGTCTGCGTATGTACGTGTGGGACAGATATATTTATTTAGATATATAGATATATAAATATATATATAAATATATATAAATAAATATACGCATGTAGGTAGGCATGTATGTATGTATGTATGTATGTATGTATGTATGTGCGTGCGTAGTGTGCGCGTGTGGTTGTATGTGTGGGTGTGTGGGTGGTGGATGATGGGGATGGGATGGGATGGTGTGGGTGACTGGAGGAGTGTGAGCGAGCGAGCGAGCGAGTGAGTGAGTGAGTGAGTGAGTGAGTAGAGCTTAGTGTAATAGGGTCGGTCGGTCGGTGGGCGACTTGCGCCAGTGCGCGAGTGGAGTGGCGTGGGCGGATGAATGTATGTATAAAGTGCGAGTTGCGGGAGAGCAGCTGTAAAGTAGCGAGTGCGTAGCTATACCTAGATAGGCACCCGCCTACCCTATGGCAGGTCGCGATAGCGATGGCGGAGCGGCAACGGCAGCGCCAGCACCAAGCACCAAGCAGCCAGCACCGGCACCAGCACCAGCAGCAGGTGGTGCGCTTCCGTAGGGGAGGGCAGCCAGTGGGAGAAGAAGGCAGATGAATGGCACGGTGTTTGCTCCGGCTTGCCCTCCAGGCCAGCGAGGGGGAGGTACTTTGTCGTTCCGTGCCGTGCGGTACACTGTGGTACGGCAGGACATGGCGCGAGATACATCGGCGTGCTGACGGGGAGCGCAGCAGGCATATTATACCTCCTACCAGCCGATGTACATGCCGTAGGTACCTACACCCCCGGGAAGCCACCTAGCGTGTGGCGGGCAGGGAAGTGGGTTGTCGGGATGCACAGGGACTAAAGAGGGCTTGGAGCGGGTCAGGCAGGTAGGGAAGTTTAAGCATGTAGGTTAGGTAGGAGGTAGGCAGCAGGGGAGGAGAGGGGGGGAGGCAGAGGTACCCCCTTCGTCGCGAGGTACCGCGCTAGGAGGTCCGGGGCGTTCTGGTGTTGTACAAAGCAGCCCAAGAAACCCGGGGACGACTTGATTAGACCATTTTCATCCGATGTGACAAGCTTTCACGATACCGGGGGGCGACCAACGCACCAACCGACCGCTAGGCAGGCAGGCAGCCAGCCAGCCAGATGGGACAAGTTAGAGCTTAGAGCTTTAGAGAGCCGACGCACAACTAACTCTGCCCCAGCCGCGCTTCTCTCTTCCCTTCGCTGGCTTGCACGTTCATATTTATAGGGTCAGTACCTCGTCCCTTGTCTGGGGCCGTCTTTCTTTCCGGCCAGTCCCTCTCTCCATCGAGGGTGTCGCGGTAGAAGCAATCGCCAACCGGAAGTCGGGGAATTTCAGTGGGGGAAAACGGAAGGAAAGCGAAATGGGTTGTACTGGCACTCGAGGGTGAAGGCATATATGCATGTAGGTATGTGTGTGTCTGTGTCTGTGTGTCTGTGTGTGTGCGGACCGGGCAAGGCATGTGTGCGCATGTGTGGATGTGCGCGGTCTGTATCTGTATTTTCGCATGTATTTATATGGGTATGCGTAGGTATATGCGTGTATGTATATGTGTGGGTGTGGATGTGTGGATGTAGGCGTAGGCGACGGCGCAGGCGCAGGCGTGAGTGTGTATAGTCATGTATGAACACACTGCTTGGATGCATAGAAGTCGGGGAGGGGAACACGCACATACCCACACGCACGCACGCACGCACGCACGCACACACCGAGACAGAGAGACGGACGGCGATATAACACGCCTCAGAATCGAAGAAGAGTAGTAAAACTGACCTTGGTTGGCTGGCTTGCTCCCCAGAGCTCTGCCTCGAGCAGAGCCTGCCAGAGTCGCCTCGGATCTCTCTCGCGTTCCCGGCTCCCTCAGCACCAGCGATGCGTGGCCAACGTCACGCAATTGGCTTCCGATTAATTAAAGGCGCCCCCTCGTGCAGACCGGTTCGGCGACAGCGGGCTTTCTCGACGCTCGTCGTTTTGTTTATTTCGGCCGGAGTTGCGATAACGAGAGGGATGGGGATGGGGACGGGGAGAAACGTGGGTGGGAAAATGGCAAGGATGTATATGTAGGTAACGGTATTTAAAGTACCTTGGAATTGAGTGGTTGATTCATTCGCGGGGCCTCTCGCTCAGGAGAGGCGTGCTTCATTCGGCCGAAGAGTGGCGGTTGTTGGCGAGCGCAGAGGAAGCAAATCGTTCGAGACGGCGCGCGGATTACTGCGGATTAACACTGCGTGATAGCAGCTCGAACAGCTGCGCCCGTATTACGGTTGTCAGCTCGGTATTCCTCGTTTCCAAACCACGTAAAGCACGGTGCCGCCGGTGCTCCCGACCGTTTCCAGTAGGTAAGTCCCCCCCCCCCCCCCCCCCCTGCCTAGCTCTGAACGCCTCACTTGAGGCTGCGGGGAGCGTCGTGAGAGAAGATTAGGTATACAAGTACCCTGTACCTGAGTACCCTGGCCCGACTCAGTGGAAAACGAGGTTTCTATGCCTTTTTCCCTTCCCTCTTTTTCGTTCTGCTCCTTAGTCTTCCCGTCCTCTCCTGCTCGGCAGTGTAGTTTCCGGCCGTCGTTAGATCTCGACTTCCGCTCGTTCCCCCTTTTAATCCTCTCTTCTTTTCCCCGCGGATCGTCAGTCGAACTGCCTGGCCCCCTTTCCGGCCTCGACCGGCCGGTGCGAGTGGCAGGTATCCAGGCGGGATGGTGGTACTGGTGGTAGTGGTCAAGGAAAAGGAAGGGAGGCTTTCTCGAGAGGTAGCGCAGGGTTGGCTTGCGCTTGCAGCCAAGAGGCGTCATGGATGTACACACACCGGCCTTCAGATACCAGTCCACTGTAACCATGGGCGCCAGGCGAGTGTGCTTTTTTTTTTCAAATACACCGGCATGTAGCGATGATTTTATTTCTGTCTTCTTTCTGATTATTTTATATATATAATAATAAAGGAGGTCTTACCGCGATATCAACCTAGGAAGTTCACAAATCAATGTCAGCTCCCGGGTCTAGCGAAGAGTGGCAAGCAGAGACGGGTGGAAAGGAGCAGTAGCATCTTCGTCGTAGAGGCTAGCTAGGGCGTGAGCAAACCCCCGTGCATTATTATCCGGCAAAAGCAGCCAATGCAGGGGACGAATCAACCCGAGCCGAGTCGAGTTGAGTCTAGCTGGTCTGTATTCGCTCGAGCAAAGTCGACCGTGAGCCAACTCCATAGTCGGGAATGAAATTGGCTAGCTAGTCGAGCTGAATCGGCTGGGAGCTGTCCTTGAAGCCGGTGGAGTCGACATCTTCCGTCGCGTGCGCCGCCTGGCTTCCGTTCCTCCACTCGATGCTTTTTGGCGGATGATCGGGTTGGCCCGGCGCGGTCTTCGATCGCGATCTCGTACGTGGCGTCTGCAGCATATCCCGAGCAGAGCATAGAAAAGAAAAGAGAGAAAGAGACAGAGATGAAACAAAAAAAAAGACAAAAAAAACACTAGGTACCTACTCGTCCTATCGGAAAGGGGTGCTAACATGCGAATACCTCTATTCTAAACAAATCGAAGCGGAGCCCTGAGAATGTGTGTCAGCGTTGCCTTCTTTGCTGCAGACTTTCGGCGCAATATGATTGATCAACACAGTGGAGGCTAAGAGACCCTGCACACCACTTGCCTACCGCCATCTTGGGTCGGCTTGGATGGCGCAACGCGCATCAATATAGCACGGCGCGCCGAATAAGGAGTTGGATGGGCCCGTATAAATTCCATCCCATACGCCGAAGGGGAGGGAGGGAAGGGGGCGTGGTGGGAATCAGCCTCCACAGACGTCAACAACTTAGCGTACCTTGTTCTCCTTTCCGCACTGTTTCTCGTCCGGTGAGAGAGATTCGGGTTCTTGTACTGTCGCTTAGTCGGAGTAAGATTCGCACAGTTGCTTCGGGGCACCGCGGTGGAGATGGGCGCAGGCTCCTGTCTCTCTGGATGGCAAATTCGGGTCTGGGTGGGGAGGATGATCCGGATCGTATGAGACTCTCGAATAAGGACCGAGCTGGATTTGAGATATAAATACAGGCGGATCGAGATAGGAGCGAATCTATACACCTTTGCCAACAAGCTTAGGAACCTGACGCGGTGGCTTCGGATCGTACGAGAGCATAGATGGCGTAAACCTGACAAGGTATGTGAGAAGAGAGGGAGCGTAGTGCCACAAGGTGATGCATACGGATGAAGCTAGCCTCTTCAAGTTCGCATCGAGAGGCCCGTATATCGGTATGACCGCGGTATTTGAGGGCTTCGAGAACAAGATGGGAGAGCTTGGGGGAGAATTAGTAGATAGACAGTGGGTGTCGTCTATCCCGGCCTGGGGCCGCGGCGATATGGGTGGCAGCGGTAGTGCAAGCTGAGACAGCGGCTTCAATTTAGGATCATCTGTAGATTGTGTGGAGAGCTCGAGGCGCATCCGGCCTTTTTTATTGTTAGCGGCTAGTGTGTCGCTCTTTTTAGAGAGATTTACGAGATGGCCGGCAGGCTGTGCGGGTTGAT